CTGCTTGAAACCTGGAATGCTATTGACAGAATGGATAAGTAGATAGACAAATACCCTGCCTTGGTATAAGGGAGCTTCCTATGTTTAGAAAGGAAGCCTTCAACAATATCCCACTTTGCAAATTGTTTCACAATATGCAGTGGTATGAAATATGCAGCCAATTTTATTCACCAATTACCTGTCTCACACAGCAGACAGCCCTTTATAAATGGTGTGCACTTACCGGATTATAGACCTTTGCAAAGCATTTGCAACTCCAAGTTTACTTCTAACTTAACTTGCTGAATAAAGAGCTTAACTTGCCAATAAAGAAGCAGGAACCTCTCATTAGAATTTTATCATACTCCCTGTTTTTCTTAGCCTGGAAAGGGAGATAAACTACAACTCTTTGCAAAGGGACAGCAATTGGGAGAAACTTTAACAGATGAGCTATGTTTTTCCTTGGTATTCTCATTGATCATTTTAGCAGGAATGTAGTCTCAAATAGGCTGAAATTAATTAAAACAGGCCAATTGTATTGAAGCCCATTTCTGGACATTGAACCCCATTGAGCATAACAGGGTACAGTGCAGCAGCCATATGTACTTTAGAATATTGAAAGAACATAAAATAATATTTTGTTGTAATATTTACACTACATTAATAGGGGAGGAGATGGACGAGGTAAATTGCAGATGAGGAAATCTCTTGCTTTAGCTCAAAATCTTAGTATAGTCCTAACTGGATCAAATCACTGAAGTTGGAGCAAATCTTCAAATGTGGTTTTATATGTTCATATAAAGTTTGCTGAAGTTATGCTCACTTGATGGAACAGACATGGGAATACAACACAGCATTTTTCGATTACATATTTGCATATTTTGGTTACATTTTTTCTACATATTCATAGAAATAGATTTTGCAGACCTTTGGCGTAGCCTTGGTTTAATGCAATCTATCAGGTCCAGGACATAAGTGCAAGGTGTCGAAGTGGAAGAGAACCAGGATCGAGAGTGACAGAGATTCTTGGCATGATGCAGTAGGCCAGAGGCAAAGGTGAAGTCAGGAACAGCAAAGGTTAGATGCCATCAAGATCAGAACCAGAAGCAAGGACAGAGTCAGGAACAAGTGAGGGTCAGATATTCAGCAAGGCCTGGCAGGTTTGCAAGCAAAAGTAGAACTAGCAACAGGCAAGGTGAGATACGCAGCATGGCATGGCGGATCCAAAGCCAAAGGGAGAGAGAAGAACAAAGGTAGTCAGATATCAAGTCATGGCAGAACCAGAGGTAAAGGCAAGCACAAGAACAATGTCAGGAGCAAACAGGAGTCTGGGCACAACTGAATGCAAGTGAAGACTGGAAGTAGGATCAGGAATGCAAAGCAATCACCAAGAAGGCCAGTCTTGCTGGGGCAAACCCGAGCAGTGCCAGGAAGCCTTTATGCACCCTTCCAGAGCTCCCAGCTGAGCAGCATGATCACTCGGGTGCCAGACCTTGCGCAGTCTGATGCTGGTGCAGCAGGCACTCACACTGTGAACCGCTCTGCCTTTGTAGACACATCACCAGGGCAGCAGTGTTGCTCCTGCTGATTCTGCCACCATTAAGGTGCAGGATTTTGCCATGGTTGTCACACAATCCTGAGTTGTTTTTTAAAATTCATTTAACAAAACTAAAACCCTTGATTGATAGGCTGCAGGGTGGTGAAGCTTGCAAGAGTTGAGGTTTTTCTTAGAACCCTTGTCTTTGATCTGCCTGGAATCATTCAAGCCTTGACTTGAGCCACAGAGTTTGCAGCAAGAAAAGCTACTTGTCTGGATCTCTGACAGATCTTAAGTTATTGGCTTTGGAGTGTTGTAGAATTACTTATGGAGCCTGTAGCTAATAGTTGCTGTTATTCTTATGTGACATCAAGTCATCTCCAACTTATGGCAACCTTATGAATGAATGTCATGAATCCCCTCCAGAATGTCCTGTCCTTGACAGCTCTGTTCAGCTCTTGTAAGCATAGCTAATTGCCACCATCTTTGTGATTTCTGAAGTGTGTAACCATTAAGTTTTACTACATTGCTAAATAAGAGTTTCATGGATTTGGTGTGCTCTGTGTTAGAACACCAGAGGTTCTGATATGGAGAAGACTGGAGATTGGGCCTGCAACAGCAGGAAGGCCTCCCTCTCACTCAGGTCTGGTGCTTACTCCACATTAAGAGTCCTCAGTCAAGGAAACAGCATCTCAGCTCACTTGCAACAACACCTGGGAATAAAATTTCAGATTGATTCTAGAAGCTACTGACCTGAAGGTCAAAGGTGGGGGCTTCCACCAAAGCACATCTTGGTGCACAGAAGCCCTAGAAAGGAGATAGAAGAATGCACATTCTTCCACCTCTTCACCAGTAATGGCCAATCAACATGTCTCTGTCCTTCCAATGTCAGCTACCCTTCTAATGGCTGCAGCTTGCTTCCCGTAGACTTGTCGCTGCAGTTTATTCCCACCTTTCTCCTCCTCCTCCTCAACTTCATGTCACTGTGTTGCAGAATGTAAGAAATGCCTACTGCCTTACCTTGAAATAGACTTGGCCTCATTAATCCCACCTGAGTCCATCTCCTAGGCTCAGTAGCATTGCCATGGGAACACGAGCTCCTCTGAAGAGTGATGGCCTGTAGCTTGCCAGTTACAAAACATTGTGCAGGCATTTCTGTTTTCTCTCGGTTCACTATGGACTTTCTCTGGCCTATTTCCCTTACTCTGATCCAGCCTTTGCCCTTGAACCTTCTGTAGAAATCACAATTCAAACATAGTTAGTTCTGCAGAAATCCTTGGATATCCCAACCTGGCCTGTCTCCAGGGCATTTGTGCGGACTTTGCAATCTATGGGGTTCATGAATCGATTTCCTGATTTTCGCCCATGTGCTAAAGCAGTCTGGTTCATAAAAGTCTTGTTCACCCCTGGTTATTCTGGATTGATAAAACTTACAGGACATGCGATATTAAAGCTGTGCAGCCTATGTTTGCCTTTGCTTACATGTTTTTGATAGAAGAATTCCATTGCAAAATTTAGAGAAATGAGAATTCCCCAAAATAACTGAGTTTGCTTGCAGTGTTGAAAGTATAAAATCAAATTCCTCCCAGTACCCTAAACAGGGCATTGGGAAAATTGGTGGGTAGAAAGGTCAGTTTCAGGGAGTTTTCATTTCACAGCCAAACACTAGGAGAGAATGCCAGATTGTGTTCTCAAGGGAAGGAGCTGGAAAGTAGGAGGATATTGGAATCCAGCAGTTCTTTCACTAAATCTTAACTGGTTACAGAACAATATATATCAGAGTAGTTTTCTCTTGGAGATGTAGGAGAAACATCCATGGGAAATGTTTCCCTCCCTTTCAATAAAGCTTTGGATTCTACCCTCAGGGTAGCTTCTGCTGCTGGCTGGATAGATGGCGAGAACACCAGACACTTCCAGTCTGGCCACTTCACTTATCACCCCAGATGAACTCCCCCTGTTTCCCCATACCCTCCCATTCTACTTCATTAAATTGCCTCAAAACTCCCCCTCCCCTCACTCCTCCAGATTAAAATTACTCTAACTGAGCAGAATGTAATGTGCAAGAGACAGGCTCCCTCTCTGCAGTTAAGCAGAGCGTTATAATTACCATGAAAACAAACTAATTATCCAAGTGCGGATTTTTATGCAGCTAAAATGGTACTATCCATGCAAAAAGAGGGGTTATAAGTGTCATGATTCCAGACCTGCTTGGGATGAATACTCCGGTTCAGTGGGAGTGTGCAATCAAGCACTCAGCAGTTTTATTTACAGCAACAGAAATCTGTGAATTACAACGGTGCTGAAAGGTAGCAGTCTAAGACTGACTACATGGAACAGAGCATGGACAAAGTGGTTTAGGGGGTTGGGGTTGCGTGCACATGGCAGGTAGAAGAGTGAGATTCTGAATGGGTGATAATGCGAGAACAATGTAGAAGCACATTGAGAATTCATTAGGGAAACACTGGAAAAACATAATGATGCATCAAGCTCTTGAGTGACAGATGAAAAGATAAAACAATCAGAAGTTACAGAATTTAACAGGCTTCAGTGTTTGCTTTTTACAGTCTGAGGCAGGAATTTCAGGAAGACAATGGGAAGCTGGCAGAAAGGCAAGTAGAGTCTCTAAGTTTACATATCTATTTGTATGTGCTGGGGCTTGTCTCCTTTTCCCATGGAAGGAACCTGAATGGAAAAACCCTGCAGATTGTGGGGGCAGGGCAGAAAACAGGGAGTTTTCTTTATTCTGAAGTATAACTTTCATTAGGGCAACTCCAACATGAGCTAATTTGAATTTGTCAAAATACAAAAAGAAAAAACCACCCTGTCATGCAACCCCTGAGGGGGGAGCCCCTAAAACAGCCCAGTGGGACTGAAGATGTCCAGTAGGTATGCAACGTGTTGTAGAGGTGGGAAGATGACAAATTGCTGTGGGTGGAAAGGGAATAGGCCAAACAAAGGGATGTCTGCTTGGGAGGCTGGCTGGAATTGTGATCATGCATGGTGCACATTATAAAATTTGCTTGTAGTTCCCACTTGTGCCCTCGAATTCCAATTTCCACTAAAACAGCAATGCCAGGGTGGCATCTTGGCCCTTATGGTCTGCTTGTGAGCATCGCAGAGGCTGTGGGAAACAGGATGGGCCTTAGTCTGATCCAGCAGGGCTCTTCTTTTACTCCATGGCTGCTGTGCAGCTGTTGCAGAAATAGCCGTTCTGCCAGCAGGTGTGGGGGGGGGCAGCAATGTGGCAACCTTGAAACATCATTGGCCACACATCTCTCTCAAGGAAGGAAGTGTAATTATTACCAGAACACCACAGGTTTGGGGATTTACTTTGTATTCTTTGACCAGCTGGCAAATTTTCCCAATTCCCGCTCAGCTATTTAACTGGCAGAGTCCAGGGTACACTGCAGATCAGAGGCAGGCAGAGGAGACCTGAGGAGTCTTCCCTTCTTGGTCACCAACCAGTTTCCTGCTGTAAAAAGATATGCTACCCCTCACGCACCTTCTTTTGCTCCTCTGCACCAAGGCTGCAAGCGGATTCTACCCCAACCATGAATCGGGGGACGTTGCTGCTACTGACTTCACAGATGCTGACATCACAGAAAAGGGGGTGATAAAAGCTGTCACCTGGTTCATGGAAAGGTACCCCCTTCCTGGAAAGCCTCTGATGAAGAAAGGATCACTAGCAAATAAGACTCCGACTGAATTATTCAAGGCCTATTTCGAAGGTAGTGGGCAAAACATATCATGCTTGGCCTGTACAATTCACTGAGTGGCTGTGGCCTGCTTATAACAACCAAAGCCAACCACATGCCAACTTTCTCTCTCCATTATCTAACTTTAAAAGATAACGGACAGAGAAAGGGCCAGAATAATTATATCAAATATGCAAGACTTGTATATTTGCATGTACATATTGATGATACTGTAATCATCACCTGATCGCCATTCTTTTCTCATACAGCTGATGTCTCCCCCAGTCGATTCATGAGCGCCCTTAAGGAAATTATCGATGGCAATAACCAAGTGGAGATCCATCACGCAGAGGACAGCAGCTTCTTCTTCCACTGTGAAGAGATTGCAAAAAGTAAGGGAAGGAACATGCCATTTCGGGAGGGGAGCATAGAGAGATATTTATGCCCTGGGATGAGTGTACTCATGAATGAAAATGGGTGACAGATCTTGCTAAACGTCCAAGATTATTAGGTGTTCATGAGGATTTCCAGTATGAACTGACCTGAGCTGCACCTCTCAGACAAGTGTGTGGATTGGATGATTGTTGTCCCCTGAGTTTCTCTGAATTTTGAGCTGAGCCACTTTCAGCTCAAAATATAAACCAAAGTGAAATGCATGCCTTGAGGGTGAGCATGTTTAGAGATGCAACATTTGCAAGGAAAATATGTAAATAAGTATGAAAGTTTGTACAGATTTTTTTAAAATCTGCACATTTGTGCAAGAATAGGACAGAATATGAATGCATATACGTGAACAGAAAATAAAATGAACATCATTACATTTTACCCCAAAATGCTAATGGTGTGTTGAGGCTACAGCAATGTGCTGTTTTGACTGTTCTTTCTATGAATCTTATTTTCCACCTATTTTCTTTATTTTTCACACCATAAATTAAACTGCATGTGGTGATGCTACCTGCAGATGTTGCAGTTGTAATACAACACATCCCGAATGCAGCAGGTTGGGGACAGCGGCCTTTGCATGGATGTTTAATGCCCTTCCTTCACTGAAGAATAACCAGAGCCAGCTGGGGGGGGGGGGATGGGGTTTTGGTATCTAGGCTAATAAATTTATTTATTTACAGTTATACACCACATCATCTACTGAAAATCCACTAAGGTGGTGCATAGCAATTTAATACACAATACTAAGATTAAAGAGGCAAAAGAGAATAAAGCAGGATATCTATAAAAACTCAAGAAGGAAGGTCTCCTAAAATAAAGATGTTTTGAGAGATGCTGGAAACAACAGCCTTCGTGCTGTGGGGAATTCCAGAACTACTGAAGGCCTTTCTCCAGGAGGACTCTAGGCTATCTAATGATCTCAGTGACTTAACAGGTCAAAAAAGAGGTGGACTTTAATGCTTGAGCCATTGATAGCCTTGTCCTGCAGGATTTACTCAAATCCCCTTTTAAAGCCATCCAAACTGGTGGCCAACACTGCATCTTGTGGAAGCAAATTCTATAATTCTCACATAACTCCAGTCCTCTATCAGCTCCATTGGCTTCCCATTGAAGTCTGGGCTCAATTCAAGGTGCTGGTTATTACCTATAAAGCCCTAAATGGCTTGAGACCAGGATACCTAAAGGAACACCTTTTTCCCTATATGCCCTTCCACCCCCTAAGATCGGCAGCAGAGGCGCTCCTCGGGGAACCCTCTTTGAAAGAGGTTAGGAGACAGAGTACTCAGAGGAGAGCTTTCTCTGCAGTGGCGCCCCGACTATGGAATGCACTCCCTAAAGAGGTCCACCTGGTGCCGTCATTATATGTTTTTCGATGCCAGGTCAAGACCTTTTTATTTAACCAATATTTTAAAGTGAGTTAATTTTACTTGTATATTTATTCATTTAATTCATTTTAACCAAATTATTTTATACTCAGTCGTGGTGTAGCCAATTTATTTGTTTCGAACAGGATACTATATTTGGGTTTTAATGTCCGTAACCCACCCAGAGAGCCCTCTAGGCTATTGGGGTGGTATATAAATGCAATAAATAAATAAACAAATAAACTATATGTAATATGGAGAAGTCTTCCTTTGATGTGTCCTGACTCTCCCACCAACTGATTTCATGGGATGACCCAATGAAATCTAGTATTACGAATGAGAGAGGAATTCTCTTTCTATCCATTTTTACACAATATGCATAACTGTATAGAGATTCCAAAGAAAATGATATGATGTCCAGTCATAAGCTTTGACTCTGATATTTCATATTCAGAGAAGGCAGAGGGAGGTGGACTTCAGAGCCAAGTTCAAATTTGCAAGAGCCTTAGGGCAGGATGCCCTTAGTAGCCCCCTCCCTAAGTAAGGCTCTTCAACCTCTTTCTGCTAATAAAGCATTGTAGAAATCTGTGTCTGCTAATGCAGAGATGTAATGATGCACGGAATGTTGTTACTGTTCACAAATGACCCATTCACAATTCCAAATCTAAACGCAACCAAGGGAGCTCTCTCTGAGAAATGCTCAAAGACTTTGAAGTTTTCCATTGCATAAACATTGTAATTTTTAAATATGTACAATCTGAGGTTTGTACATGTTTAAAATGCATTTTTCTGCTGTAGTCAAAGGGGGAAAATGTATACACAGAAACATGGACTTTTCATGTTCAAATGAGATTAAAAAATGAAAATGGGAGTGAGCCAAAATAGCTTTGAATTGTTGTTGTTATATTGTCATGTTCTGTCAAGTCATCACCAACTTATGGCAACCTTATGAATTAAAGCCCTAGCGTAATTTTGAAGGAATCCTTAAAATTTAGGTAAGCTTGAAAATTAATGTATCTCTCATACTAATTTGGGCATAGCTGCATGTTATTAATAAATTCCCCCCAGAATTTTTCTCTTAGTGGAGAAGACTGTGCCCAACTTGTGTGCCGACTGGCAGGCAGCTCCGATGGCCTGCTGCTCTCCCATTTTATGGCTCCTTCTCCTTAAATTGGACTTGGAATAGTCTTTCAACTAGAGCAGCATTGGGCATAACCTCTCCATGTTCCTGGCCACTGACAGGGCTGGCAGGAGCTTCTGGGAATTTTAGCGCAAAGCACTTGGAGATCTGGCTTCGGCCTACCCGTGAAACAGAGGGTGCTTCGAATACACAAAAATGTCCTCCGTAAACATCAGAGATAGTACCCTAGTTGGTCGTGAATTGTCTGCTGCAATATGTGGTAACTACCTGACTGTGGTGACACATTAATGCAGGCCCTGTAGATATCAAGAGGTTCTTGTGCTCATTTACTTCCCAGGTATCAAGCAGCTTCGAGCTTTGAGAGACTCTATGTTCTCCAGTCTGAGAAAAAAAGAACCAGATTTGGAAGCAGCTCGCCTGAGTGCTGGGAAAGCCATCCATGTGCTCCAAAAATTCTACAGTAACACTAACTGGGTTGAAATGGGAGAAACCTTACCCTATAAATACCTGAGTAAGTCACAGTGAATATGCCAAAAAGGGAATGGGATTCACCTTGTTGTCTGTCGTAAGTCCTTCCACTTGCCCTGAAAGGGGAACAATCCCTTTATAAATTTTAATTGTTTCCCTGTCTTTTAAAAAAAGAACACTTGGCAAGCATTATCACACTTTTCCTATACCAGCCCTGCAAGAACTAGAGGGGTCATTCACATGTCATGCTAACAAACCCTGGCAATAAGCCACAGTAGGTAAACAGTGCACACACTACCCATTTTTCTAGGAAAACAGAATTTTGACAGCTTTGATTCTGGGCCCCTTTGAAAAGGAGATTTGGCCTGGGAAATGGGTGGGTTTTTGACAAAAAGATGTCTTTGTATGTACCAGTTTAAAAAAAAAAACCTTTAAAGGGATCCATGGTTTTTAATAGTCAGCCAACAAAACTGCTTGCCCTAAGGGAAAAAGTGGAGACATTTTTAGACTTTTCCTAGCACCAGAGTCTTGCGACAAAGCACAAAATGTGCACCCTGGTAGAAATGAAATGAAGTGGCCAAGTTGAGGAACTTCCTGCAAAAGGGATGCAAAGCTATCAAAACATAATTCTCATATCATCCCTCATGGCTCAAATCAGAAAGAAATGTCCAAGTATTTTTGAACAATTAAAAAAGGCTGGGATGACAAGCTTTTTTGCCACTCTTGCCATGGGGCTCTCTGTCCAACAATGGGGTCAGTCATCTGCCTTTGGGCAACATGAGAACCCATCAAGGATTGTATAACCCCTACAACAACCCATGGAGTGGCTTGTCTACTAAGTGTACAGGGGAAAGAATGATTAGACCAGGAAACCAGAGTGGTGTGTGGTTGGACTGTTGGATTGGAACTGAAGAGCTTTGGGTTCTATTCCCGCCCCCTATCCATGAAGTCAGTTCACCAGGTCAGTTTGAGCCAGTGACTGGCTCACTACCTAACCCACCTCATAGGGTTGTTGTGAGGATAAAAGGGAAAGGAGGGCATCCGGTTCCTTGCAGGAGGAAAAGAGGCTATATATGAATGTACCAAGAAATAAATAAAACGCTATCAACGTGGAGTTGTTAATTTTTAAAGCCTTACATGGTTTGGGACCAGAATATCTAAAAGAACATCTCCTTTCTTATGTACCTGCTCAGACTCCAAGATCATCTTTTTTCAAGCCCAGTCAGTAATCTAACAACTGTATTAACTGCAGTTTTTAAACAGTCTTCAAGGGTACCCCCAAGTTTAGTCCATCACAGCTGACTAACCTGGAGGTTAGCCAAACATGGATTACCTGCAACTCAATCGTGTTTTCAAATGGAAATCATGATTCAGCATGCCATTTAACATAAAAACACTCATCAGGCATGCCATCTCAAGAAAGATAACAGTACATTTCCTATTCAAACGGTTCATTATAGGAATTCAAAAAGTTACCTAAATGAAATTTGTGTTTTGTACTGTTCATTTTAAAAACTATTATGTTCTGTCCTTCCACTTAGAGGTGTACAGATTTCTGTGGAATCCAGCTGAACCTAAACATAGAATTCTTTTCTCTTTGTGCCCCACAGTAAATGAAGATGAAGATACTGTACCTGTAGCAAAACGTTCTGAGGGAACATGCAGAAACTGCAAGAAAGATATAAAGTAAGGCCACAAGGTGGTTAATTTTAAGGGGGGTGACCAGGGGAACTTAGATATTCTTGGAAGTGATTACTGAATCCATTTCTGTTTGGTCTGAGGCCTAGGTTTGGCAGAGAAGCTATTCTTAGGATTTAGCCTTTTAAATCTGTTTATTACAAATTTAAATTCCATAGCAAATTCAAATAGAATTCTATACATCTGACCTATGGAATTAGACTTCTTTCTGAGTTGTGTAGATTTCAGGGACTTTTATTTTCCTTCCGGATGAGATTTGTAGAAAAATCATATTTGTGCTAACATACATTAGCATTAATGTGCAGCTATGCTAATATGGATGGATGTATTATATAAGGGAAACCACAGCCTTAAATTAGACCAACTGAGCTGGACATTTTGGAGGGCACATACCATGTGCCTCCATCCTCCCTCCAAATGGTAGTACATATCTCATCAACATCTGTGGCTGAGAATCAATCCTAGCATGCACCACTCCTGCCTGCTCCACCTGCCTCTTCCCCATTGCCCCGAATGCTTCCCTGGGCACTTTCATTCATAGGGACACCATAAGTCAGAGAGGACTTGATGGCACATAACAACAAATGCTAATGTGCATTATTACTATCGCATGTGTGCAAAGGTGAGATAATATTCCATGCATCCATGAAAAATTCAGAGGGTCAATGAAAAGCAGGCAGATGCAAGAACCCTAACAAACTACAGAAGCTGGCCACAGATTTATTCGAATCCATATATCTCCTACTATTATTTATTTATTTGAGAGCCAGTGTGGTATAGCAGTTAGGGTTAGGGTTTGGAGTTAAGTTGAAATTTTTTTTTTAGGTTGAAATTTTTTATTTAAATAAAGGTTAGGGTTAGGGTGTGGGTCTAGGACTGGGACTGAGATGCAGGCGATCTGGGTTTTAGTCCCCACTCAGCCATGGAGCCAACTGGGTGACTTTGGGCTAGTCACAGGAGGAGGAGATTATGTCAGTCACTTTGAGTTCATTAGGGAAAAAAGCAGAATACAGTTGTACCTCGGCTCACAAACACCTTGGTTCACGAACAAATCGGGTCATGAACAAAAATTTTGACTTGGGTCGCAAACACCGCTTTGGGTGGTGGCCAAGATCGCAGCCACCTCCCCCCATTCCCAGTGGGGAGATGGCCACTATTGCAGTTCCGTTTGTGCAGGGAAGGCATGCGTGATCAGAGGCACGCTGCTGCAGGAAAGACAGGAGCAGCAAAGCAGAACCGCGGGGGAGATGGCCGAGATTCCGCATGTCCTTCCTGCAGGAGCGCGCCTCTGATCAGGCACCCCTTCCCTGCACGAACGGAACTGCGATCGCAGCCATCTCCCCACCCACAGCGCACCATTTGCGCCCATCTCTCCCACCCCCAGTGCGCCTGGGAACACACCCGTCTCTACCCCACAGCACACTGGGATGATGGGCGCGATCTCGATTGTGCTGGGGCAGTGGGGAGATGGCTGCGCTTGTGCTTGGTGGGTGGGGGGATGGCCGCAGTCTTTGTTGTTGTCACTTTGCTTCACATTTTTCTGATTTAAAAAATGGTTACAGAATGGATTAACCTTATTTACATTGAACCTTATGGGGAAATTTAACTTGGCTCATGACCAATTTGGGTCACGACCAGAGTCCTGGAATGGATTAAGTTGAGCCAAGGTACCAGTGTATAGATCTAATAAATAAACTACTGTACAGGAAGACTTCAGGAAGAGAGAAAATGACTATGTTCAGCCATAATGCTAAGCAATACCATGAAGTTACCTATCTTTCCTTGGGGCTGTTCACACATAATGTGCATAGTTACTGTGCAGCTCCCTTTCTTACCTTGAGTCCTGTGTTCACATATTCACAAGGGAACTAGTCATAACTAGTTACCATGTGCCTCTGGCTGTGAATCAATCCCAGCATGCACCACTCCTGCTTGCTCCATCTCCCTCTTCCCCATTACCCCACATGCTCCGCTGGGCATTTTCTCAGTCAGCAGGGGCTTCCCCCTCGCCCCTGCTCCACAGAGCTCCTGCCTACTCATTAGAGTAGCACGTATGCCTGTGTGGTCACTGCTCCCTGTCCTCCCTGCAGACACATCCCCTGATCTGTTCCTTCCCTTGCAGCCTGCTGAACAGGAAAGACAGACAGATTTGTGGGAAGAGGGAAAGAGGAAAGGCTCTCTTATCTTAAATGTGTCTATTGCTAATTTCAGTCGTGCCTACCAGTTGTATGTGGCTCCCAACAGATTACTCAACAGAAGAACGATTACCTTTGCACAGGGATGACCAAAAAGACCTGTTCTCCTCTGCAGAGGAAGGCAGGACGCTCTGAACGGAGCCAAGCTCAAGGAACCAAAGTTCAATCTGGATGCCAGGAAGTACTTCCTGACAGTTAGGACCCCGAGGGTATGGAATGGGCTTCCATGGGAGGTGGTTGAAGCCCCATCCATGAGGGTGTTCAACAACAGGCTAGACATGCACATGGGAGGCATGTCATGAGTGGAGCTGGCTGGAGCTGGGGGTCAGACTAGATGGTCCGGGAGACCCCTTCTGACTCACTCTGTTTCTATGTTTCATTTAGGGGAAAGGTGGAAAGACAGCAGTTAGAAGAGGGCTCCCTGAATGGTGAAAAGCCAAAAGCAATTGGCAGGTTGCTCGGCAGTTAGTAAATGACCCAAAAAGAAGGCTTTTCTTTCACTTGGGAAATGGGAGCTTGATTACGAGTGCCAGCATTCTCTGATGTGAAGTAAAGTGCACAGAGGCACTTGCAGCCCTGGCGAGGCCCAGTTTTTCTCTTTGCAGTCCTTCTCTTTAATTAAGTTATGTACTGTGAGGTGCCTTGTTCTGCTGAATAGTTCTGATTTTCCAGAACCCCCAGTGGCTGCATATTGCAAGCACCCCCATGGCAGCCTCAGCCCCTGGAGCAGCCTCTCCAAGCTGGTGCCTTCCAGTTGTATCAGACTGCAACTCCCATCCGCCACCCACCTGATCTGCCAGTCCCTACCTACAGGTCATCAATGTAGCAAAAGGCGCAGCACACTAGAAAGAAGAATGGGGAGGGAAGAGGTGTACAGTGCAATGGCCCGACAACTGCCCTGTCTCTCGGTGGGAAGAGCAGTTCGCTGTGGCAGTTCAGGGAGTAGGAATCTTCATGGCAGTGGCCGTTGTTAGGCCGTTGCTGTCTTCTGCTGTTTCTTAAGGAGCTGCCTGACAACTGCCATCTATGCAAACGCCACTGGTTTTATAGCCTTTCCCTCTCCCCAGAGAACTTTGGGAAGCGAGCTTCTGGAAGAGAGGCCAGAAAGCTCTAGTTCCTGATGTTCTGGGAAGCTACACTGCTCTGAACAATTTCATCTCCAGTGCAGGGAAGGCGTCATTGAGGCCATGACCAGAGCAAGACCTGAATACAGATCTGTGTCCACTAACCTAATCTCTGGCCAGTGCCAGCCTTCAACAACTTAAGCTACCTCTTAACAGTGAGTCCTGATATGCTGTCAGCTACAGGCATGGCTAGATCATTTTCATGATCTTCAGTGGGTTTATGATCTGTGGCTTCCGAAAGAGAGAGAACTTGGGCCTGAGCAATCCCCCTCCAAACACGCCTCTCAGGAAATGTTACTTTCAAAGCCATTCATTAACTTATTTTCCATTTAATAGTGACATCTACTCATGTAAGGATAACCTATTAGTGACTGACAAGCTCACCAGTGGGTACAAGACATCAGCAACGTGCAGGGAGAAATTGCAAGGTAAGATTTCCTGTTGCTAAGATGCACTGCCAATCACTACTGTGTTTGCAGTTTTCCACTGAGGAATGGCATACAGTGAGTCCAGCAGTGGGCCAGCCCAAGATATTTTGCTGCCTGAGGAAAAGAACAAAATGGCATCTCCTCCCATTCATGGACAAAAGCCAACAAGATTTGGCAGTTGGATCTTTCCTCAGCACTGGAGATGGGATTGCAACCTGCCCCACCTGAATGCAGCAGGTTAGCTTAGGGGGCACAAGGCCAACTGTATAGCTGGGGAGGCCAAACCATGGCTCACAAGCCTCTGTGGCTCTTTGAGTTTATTTTGGTGCTCACAGAGGGTTCGAAGCCCCCCATTTTCCCACCCCAGTCCAGATCCCAGCTTGTGCCACCTGAGGCAACAGCCATTCTCTGCCTAATACTAAGACTGGGCCAGGCCTTTAGGTGGAGACAGGACATGAGAAAAAGCCATGACATACCATTTTTAAAGCTTTCTGGAATTTTATATTTGACCATAGAAAAATACAAAGGGCCTTTAAAAAATCATTCACCAAAAAGTGCATTTTCCTCCATAGACTAAAAGCATGAACATGTGGAAGAAGGAATTTGCACACTGGCACAAATAGTAATTTACCAGTGTGAATGTGAGTGTGGGAAATGGAGAAAACTCTAATTCTATTTCACAAGAAAATAACCAAGAGATGCCTGATAATCTACAAAACACATATGGAATGGATTTAACAAAATCCATACATCCATAATTGCAAATTACCCAGTGCTATACCAATAGATCATAATCTACTTTCTGCCCATCTCTGAAATAGAGGACACATTCAGGTAGGGATGGTTATCTGGTTCTTCTTCATATTGAGACTACCCTCTGCATGATTATTAGTAATAATAATAATAATAATAATAATTATAATACCTGGATACCCTACCAAATATTTTGCTGCATGAAATGAAGAACAAAAAGAAGCAGTTCTCCACCCCACCCCACCCCACCCCACCCCACCCCACCACACCCCACTACACACACCCTTCCACATACAAAAGTGAGAGGACTGACAGTTAAATGTGACTATCAGTGGTGGAGGGATGAACCTGACAGCAGCAGGTGAGCGTAGCAAGTGCAGAAGGGGCCGTGTGACACAGAGTTCCGTCCTCCAAGATGGTACTGCTGCTTACACAGCATTCTGCCTAGCACCTGTTTGTGAACCGTGTATAAATGCTGCCACATGCCAGCAGTGGTACCAGCCATCATCGGTTTGGTCTTCGCTGAGTGTTTTCAAGCTAGAGTCCAGTATTTAGGAAGCCTTAGGCTGCCAATTATCTATCTATAGCTAACAATTATCTATACCTGATAAAACATAGTTTTGCTCTAGGGGATTTCAATATTTTGTTTCGTACTCATCAGAATTAGTAAATCTCTGAATCCAGTTTTTATTTTGAAATATATTTCTTTATAACATGACATCAAAAAAATAAAAAAATAAAAAATATAACTTGCATAAAATAAAATCAATTGTTGTTATAAAGGAAAGCCTTTTGAAAGATTCTTAGACTCTAATAGCATAACAAGAAATAGTATTTCCTGAACTTGTTTCAAGACTTCTAAGAAGCAATCTTGTCTAAGTACAAAATATACCATTTGTCTCTGAATAAGCAGTTCAGCAGACAAGCACACAGGCCTGGTGAGCTTCTAATAAGAAGCTACTTCATTCCAAAAGCAGCCCATCCCTTTTGATGCAAAGATTACTTCATTGTTAGTATTATCTATTGTCCCATTAAATAGAGCTCAAATCTGAGTTATCTCGCTGTTACTAAATATTATTTCCCCTCATATATGTAAAATTTATTTTTAAAATGTTCAGACAAACACCTTGCAGGCTGTATTACATCAATTCCAAACTATACCTTAGAGAACATAACTCTGTACTCAACATTTGCTAATTAAGCAAGGTCTATAATTTTCATAGACATGTGCATCTCCAGCCTTTTGATGTCTAGACCTTGCACAATATTTTTTCCTCATTAGTTGAAAACCATAACCTTAAAATTTGAGTTGACCTGGAATAATGCCATCTGATCCCTGCTTATTGCTAGCAATAATTCTCTGCTATACCTTCAATGCAGCTTTTCCTCTATGGAAACCAGTCAAGTAGTCTTGATAGTTATTATTTGCATCAGTTACCAAAATTTATTGTGAACCAGCCTCTATCTTTGCCAGTCTTCTCTTTAATACAATTACTACTTTTTGCCTATTTACATGTGAAATGATTATCATTCAGGATATTCAGCTGATCACTTAATATTTCAGAGCAAAACAAATCTTAAGTTACTTTGAAAAAGTTGAATTTTTCAATAGGCTTCCCAGAAATTCCAAAAAGCAAAATAATCTATTTTCTAATAATAATAATAATAATAATAGTTGGGACATAACCCGGCCGTGCTCATACAATATGGCAAACAACCCTACACTGTTTTCACTGTACATGGATTTTTTGTCAACTTGCCAGTCAGTCATGTGGTTACCCAGGCAGCATGATTTCCACATTCTCTACTCCAGGGGTCCTCAAACTTTTTCTAAAGAGGGGCAGTCAATAGGTGGCAGCAGTGGGCGCAGGCTGCCAAGGCGGTGCCGGCGGGGGGGCACGGGCTGGTGAAGGGATGGGGCACATGCACACGTACGTGAGGTGGGGTGGCGACACATGCGGGGCAAGGCACTGGCTTGCTCGTGAGGAGATCAAGTCCAAAACAACCTCCTCACGAGCAAGCCGCCGTCGGATGCTTGCACGGCGAGGTGCCAGCTTGCTTGTAAGGAGATCATTTTCTCTAAGCTAGTCCAAAACGACCTCCTCGCAAGCAATACACACACCCAGCAAGTGCAAAACCTGTGGGGTGGGCCGGTTAAATGGGCATGGCAGGCCGGATCTGGCCCACGGGCCTTAGTTTGAGGACCCATGCTCTACTCCATCCTTCAGGCCTCACAGCACATCCCAGAAACCCATGCAAGGGAAATCCCAATCCTGTCCCTATTTTTGTCAATGGACCACAGTCCTGACCAGTCCCCAGTGTTCCTGAGGCAGGCCTCCCATTCCCTCTCTCAAGTGCACCTGAATGTCTGTGGCACTTCCCAGACACTCCAGCCCACACAAAATATTTGTATTAAATGAAAATGACAGTTGCTATGATTCCACCCCCTTTCTCCATTCCCTGTGTTCAAAAGTAAATAAGAAGACAGGCACATTTGCTTGGCCAATGGAATAAAGAAAGCAGTGATGTGTCTGTTGCTAGGGAGATGAAGGCAATGGAGATTGGAGGGTAGAAGCAGCCATTTCCATGGTTGATCTTGCCAGGGGACTGTATGGTGTTTCTATACATATAACAGTAAAATGGGGATCCTGGGTGCAGATGACCAGAGAAGCCAAAGTGAAATATGGAAACTTCAGAGACAATCATTGATTCTCTCTCTGCTTTCAGAAACCCAATCCCAACATACAGGAATTCTGGATCTGAGTCCAGACAGCACAACGGACCCAAATTTTCATTATGGCTTCTCCTGGTGTGTGAATCTATACTATGTGTCAAATGAACAGAGCAATCCCCGTTGAAGCTGCTTCTTCACACACTATCTAAGTATGGGCTTCCTTCCCAAAGGCATGTCTCTGATGCATTGGGAGAGGGCAACTAGATGAGACTGCTGCCAGCTCAGCCAGCAACAAGCAAGAAGAGCTTCCACCAGTCCAGTAGGGTCAGCCAAGGCATGGAGCCAGCACTGATGCTCCTCGCCCCAACATTAACAGTAGAGCAAGCCCTGCTTCCCTATCACTAGGAACAAACAATGAAAGTAGCACCCTCGGGATGCCAAGCTGACACAACAACACTGCCTTGTTGAGGTATAACATGCAAACTAGCCTTCAGAAGAGGCCTGCACATAAGGCATGGAATGGCAACCTCCACAGCTCTGAGGTGGAGTTTTCAAGAGTCCATTGGTCTGTCAGCCTGCTCTGGAAATTATACAGCTGTGGGACCAAAAGTGGTTGCCCTCCCCTCACATATGGGGTCACTTGGCCAGGTTCCACAGCCTGTTTCAAGACTACATACAGAATTCATTAGGGCTGAGTGATCATTTCATTTCTATTTTAATATAAGAATTTATAAATTATTATAAATTTCAGAAATTTATAAGAATTTCAGAAAATTCACTGATGTCCAGTATGGAAAGAACCTGATATTTTAAAAGAACTTGAAAGAAACCAAAATGGGCAGATTCAGATCCATCCAGGTGGAACATTCTGAGTGCTTAGTTCTTAAAAGTTTGGATAGACCAGAATAGTCTGAATATCTTGTACACCATTCTGAGAGCATCTGCTAATGGAACAGTTTATAAAAGCTTTACATAAATAAATATCCCTGTACATCCAGTCATGTTAATGCTGAATTTGAATTGCCCTTTTTTGCCTCAGAGGTGCTTATATGACAGCTACAACGCTGGGTGGGTTCACACAACACAACAGGCCATGTGCTTTCTTGTGGAGGATGGTCTGTCATGTTGTCCAGCCCCTGTCATGGTATTTCAGCATGGTACATTTGGTTTTAGAAACCATGGCAAGAAGCAACTGTCTGTTCTATAGTTTCAACACTTCACCATGGTTTTCTCTTATTGCCCAAACCCAGTATTGTAGTTTCCATCATCCTGGTATGAAGCTACCACAAAGACCCCTGGAAAGAGCAGCAGCCTTTGCAGGAGCTGCTCCAGCCATCCATCATAGGATTTAATTTCAGTTGCAGTGGCTGATGAGATACATGCCAGCATTGGGAGGACTGTGAAAGAAGGGTAGAAACCACAATAGCCTCGAAGCCACTTGTCTGTCAGTGTCACGAGGCCGTAACTCATGTCCCCAGTTACTCGCACAGATGCAGGCAATAAAAACTAAAGACCTTTATTCCAAACGACTACAAGATTTATGTTTACGACAGATAGTGTAGGAGCTACCGCAGAGAGCTCTAAGCAACACAGTTGCCCCCTCCTTTCTGACCTCTGAGATTTGTCACGTGGACCTCAGTCTTCTCATACGTCCCTCTCCACGGGGGTTGGACAAACTTCTTTCTCTCCTTCTCTGTTCTAATTGGTCTAAGTGTCGAAGTCTCCTCCTCAGTTGGGCACTTTCCATGACAACTGACTCCCCTTCCTGATTTCCGGGAACTCCATCAAAAACTTCAGAGTCAGGTGGCGGGGGGGGGGGCTGTTTGTGCCATGGGCATCAAGTATAAATCTCCCTGCTCTAAAGCCTGATCCTCACTGGAGGCTTCTGGCCCTCTGTCGCGTGCTAACACCTCCCACGAGTCGTCAGGCACGACAGTCAGGCACATCCAAGGGAAAAAGGCACACCATGTGTAGAAGTAAGACATATTCAGGCCTTGAATATTTCTCTGGTAAACTGGGCCTGAAAGGAAAGTAAACCATGTGTATTTGTTGTGAAGGCAATTAATAAACAGTCTTGAGAAAATTCATGATGTAGTAAATCATCTGTATCTGTATTAACCTAGGAAGGAGTTTATGTTTGTTAAATCTTCCATTTTGTTTTGATGCAAGATGGAGTCTGTGCCTGTTTTTAATTAATTGAGAGATAAATGTTTGCTAACTGGTGCATCTGTGATTGCGGTAGTTTGCATTCCATAGTAATTGTCTAGGTTTCTATTTATCTCCATATAAGCAAAGAATTACTTTAAGCAAAGGGTATTTCTTTTGGGAGCAGAGACACTTCCTGGCAGCTACAACTTTCTCTCCTGCAATTGCTGACGAGCATGTTTTAGAAACCCTACTCAATGTGAATCATCTTAAACACAGAGTGGAGGGGGGTTTTTTTCTTTCACTCATGGAAACCATGCAGAGCTTGGTTGTGATGTGTGAACCCAGCCATTGTCTTTTCCATGGTGGGAATTGCTGTAACTCTTGAATGTGACTGCTGTAGAAAGGAAAAAAATGCTTTGGGGTGGTTGTTGATGATGATGTACCAAATCTGGCAAATTTCATCTTTAGGGCAGAGAAAAAATGAGAATTAAACATCTTAAATGCAGGAAAAAGAAAAATCAAGAGATTCTTCCATCCTTGGCCCTTATTAACTAAATGAAACAGCAAATTGTTCTTATTCACAATCATTTTCATTGATGTAATCTGACCTAACAATTCTTTTTTCTTATTCTTTCATATTTATGTTCTTTCTTCAGGAAAATGTGGACATGGTGGGAAAGATGATGAGAACCAAGATAGGCCTCCCACTGGAGGCATTAACAAAGCGACTTCCAACCCACTGCTCTCACCACATTTTCATTTGCATAAACAAGCAGCTGAACTAGCAATACAAGCCACAATGGACTTCTTTGTAGGAGATGGTAAATGCAGAACCATTAATCTCTTGAGGATCTGGGTGTTGTGATTTATCTGGTCAATTCTGGGAATCGTCACATAGGTTTGGTCCCTGGTAAAGAGTTCTCCCCAAAATAGCCAGATACAGAAACTCACAGACTGTAGTCCACGGACCACTGGGGTCAGTGAGTTTCATTCAGGTGGTACGGGGAAAGTTGCAGAACAGTCAAGGATACCAGTACTTGGCTGTGCTTGCACTTTATTTTTCGTTGCCAGAACAATGAATCATGACCATTTGAAACAAGGTTCTCAAGTGCAAATGCAGAAGAAGTATGGATGCTGAACCTGGCCTGAGGTGAAACATTATGCCCACTCCAACTTTACAGAACATTGCTCATAAAAACAGGTGCATTCATTATGCCATAAAAACTATGGTTAATAAAATGTAAGTTACATATGAGGTGTGTACAGAAAGTAATAGGAATGATATTTTTAAAATTATTTTATTGATAAATTTACAATTGAACATTGTCTCCTTCAAAGTATGCACCTTTTGAGTGTACACAACACTCCTAGCAATTTTTCATTCTTCACAGCATCCCTGGAAGTCTTCAAGTGGGATAGCGTTCAGAGCCTGCATAGTGGCTCTTTGGGTGTTATCCACACTACCTAAATGGTGTCCTTTCAAACAATTCTTCATCTTTGGGAAGATAAAAAAGTCACAAGGAGCCAAGTCAGGGCTGTAGGGAGGATGGGGAAGCACCGTGATGTGTTTTTTAGCCAAAAACTTTCTGACAGTCAAAGCACTGTGACTCATCGCTTTGTTGTGATGAAAGATCCAAGCTGAACCGGTCTCAGCTTGTGCCATCGGTACACTTGTGCAGATGGTAGCACCGCTTCTCCATAAGCTTCCCTCACCATTACCAAAGTTCCTGATGCACTTTTACCCAATTTCACACAATTTTATTGCATACCGCTGTTCCAAACTCGCTTGCATTTTTCTTGAGGCACTTGAACAGGGCGTCACAATAAAGAATGTCTCGACTCCAGGGCTGGAATGCAACTGATCTGTCTTCTAACGTATACCTGGCACCCCAACCCAAGTGACCTTGGCCAGCTTCTCCCTTCACAGAGCCCTTCTCAAGTGTAAGGACTTCATTGTCCTTATTTTCTGGACAAACCTCATATGTGTTTTGATTTATAGAACAAGAGTAACATTATTTTACTAAGTGGTCCATTGAGACCTCCCACAATTTTGGTTGTTCTTGGAACAGGAGGGAGTTTGAGAACCACTGAGGTGGAGGATTTGAATAGCAAACCATTCATTGCACTTGGAACTTTTCTTAGAAAATGGACGCATCTCATCTATGGCACAGAAGTAAGTTAATTTTGTCTTTGCTTAGATGGTAGTCTCTTAAGAGAACTGGGTGACAAAATTTTCAAGGCGTTTTTCAACATGGAAGGCTACTCCCTCACTTTTGTGATAGACACGACCAGCAGCATGGAAGATGACATTGCTGAAGTCAGAGCTACTTGCATGAAAATACTCCAGAATTACTCCACTTCCCCTGATAAACCCATCAACTACATTCTTGTGCCCTTCAATGATCCAGGTGAGGAGGCAAAGGAAAGTTTTTGGCTCATTCAAAAGAAATCAGAAGATGCAAAAAACATTTGGAGCCTCTTCTGGGAAACATCCAGGGCTTGTGTTCCTGTGCTTGGCAGCAAGCACAGCCTAGGACATGGCCTCTGGTGAAACTTCAAGTTCTTGCAGGTACAAATTTGTTTTTGTGCTAAAATTAAAAAGCAGTGGCCAACATAGGCAGACTCTCCAAGTTTCCTCTGGGGCACTTTGAAAGGAGTGTGCATAGATGTCCAAATGGGGGTTGTGAAAGCTGGCTTGACTTTTGAAATTTCCCAGAAAAAAAGTTTTAAGACAAAAAATGGATGGCAAGCATGAAACTGCTTGTGACCATGGTGGAGAGTGTTCCCTGAGATATCTGTGGAAGGAATAAGGTAGTATTAAGGGGACCAACAACCCATGGTGAGCCTGATTGACACCTGACATAGGAGACCACACACCAATGCTTCTGTCTTCCTTTCCATGCTGCCTTCAGTCTTCTATCTCCCACCCTGCTGCTGCCTCCAGCCCCAGCCACACACGCTTCTCTTCCCTGCCAGATGCCCTTTCTCCCTCCCTTTCCTTTCCTTTCCCCTGCCAACCTACTGCACCCCTCTCTTGCACCATGATAAGCCCACATAAATCAGAACAGCACATGCAGATCTGTGCATTTTTTGGTCGTATTTTGAGCTGTTGTTACTTGGCCCATGCCCAAACTACCTTAATAAAATCTGTTGTAACTGTACTGCAAATTCACTGCTGTCCTCTTCCTATGGATTCCATTCCCACAGAGGTTGGGCCTGTCATGAAGACTGACAATGTACATACATTTGCGACTTATATTGATGGCCTCATTGTTGCTGGTGGTGGTGACTGTCCGGAGATGTCATTAACGGGTCAGAAATTAGCTCTGGAAGAAAGCTTGCCAAGGTAATGATTCTATCTTAGTTTCCTGTCCTGTCTTCCTTGTATCTCTCTTCTTGTGACATTCTTTAGTGAAGTTTTATTATCTTTAGCTAGGGCCTGGTGGAGTTGACATGGTGATTGTCCACCATACCCCTGAAGTTGTATACAGTGGTACCTTGGCTCACGAATTTAATCCATTCCATGACTGTGGTCATGACCTAAATTGGTCGTGAGCCAAGTCAAATTTCCCCATAAGGTTCAATGTAAATAAGGTTAATCTGTTCTTCAACCATTTTTAATCACAAAAAAATGAAACAAAGTGACAAAGAACAACAAAGATCACAGCAATCCCCCCCCCCCCCCCGCACAACCATGATTGCACCCGTGCAGATGGGCACGATCGTGATCGTCACCCAGTGCGGAGTGCGCAACATGAGGTAATTTTTTTCTGAAATTTCTGTTCGCGACCCAATTTGGTCATGAACTGAGGCATTTGTGAGCCGAGGTACCACTGTAGTTCTGGTTATGGTAGGAAATTAACATCCATGTCCAACACCACTTCACCCTCACCCTGAATGCAAGTCATAACACACCATACTTGCCCTTCTAGTTTCAGAGCACACAGCCACATTGGAATTTTTAGCCTAAGACCTTTTCTACTTCTCCAGATCCAAAATCTTTGGCTTTACTGATGACCTTCCAAAGGATGAACACCTGGAGAATGAGATCAAAAGGATCAGTGATACTAAACGGTCATCTATTAGCTTCGTTGTCTCAAAGGCTAGCTGTGAAGACCGGAAACGCCGAAGTATGTACATTTTGGCAAAGACCATGCTCTGACCAAGAGAACATTGTTGGGGATCTGAGATGGCTGGATTCTCATGTTACTGGGGGGAAATCTTACCTAGACAACAGGGATAGGAATCCTCAGGCACAAGATCCCAGTCCAGAACTCCTGAGTTAGCCAAATGGATCCACTCTTTCCCAGGCTATGGCCACTTTCCTCAGAGTGATAAAGTTTTGACGTTTCCTAGTTTTTGTGCTGTTTTTCCCCATTCTAAAAGGTTGAAATACCTCACCTCTGGCTTAGTTGTTGACAAAACAAGCTTTATGCTACCATATGATGGCATGGGAGGGGACATCTTCAGCCTTGGCCCCACTCTACACTGGAATACAGCCCCCAAGAGTTTACCAAAATGGGCTGAAAGAGGCTCCCTACCCTGCTCTAGGAAATGCAATCCCCTTTAATAGGTCGGAATGGGGGGAAATTCCATTGGGTTTGCATTCTGATATGAACTTCCCCAATCAATATGCAAACTGTAACATAGTGGTCCTTTAGTGTTTGCTCTTCTTGTGATTCAGTTCGCTTAACAAAACAAATCAAACACATGACCATAAACATGCATACATTGGAAGACACATGGACAAAAATTCTAACTGACTTTGACCAAAGTGGACCCTGAATACAGGACAATCCTGAAGGCAGAGTCACAACACAGGCAACCAGGCTAGTGCCAGGGTTTCCATAAGGGAATGGGACAGGCAGGCAGGAGCAGTCAAAGTACAAGCCAGGGTCAGCAACACTGCTGAGTCATCAGGTATCTACACAGCACAGAAGCTGGGTGAAGTAGGAGTCTGAGGAGCATGAGAATCGGTCATCAAGGGTTGGTGTAAACCAGCCTTCCCTAACCTGGTGGCCTTCAGAGATGTTTGGACTGCAACTCCCAGAATTGCCATCCAGAAGGGCCACTGACTGGGAATTCTGGGTATTGCAGTCCAAACATGTCTGGAAGGCACAAGGTTGTGGGAGGCTGATCTAGACAATGGTTTTCCCAACACCGCTGAAGGTTTCTAATGTCAGAGCCTGCTGAACCCTACCCAAGTCTCCCTGCTGCTTGAGGTCCCTGGGGAGCAGGATGCTACTCAGCCTCTCCCTCCAAGGCAGACTGCCTTCTCTTGAGAGGAAAGGATCTGCAGTCATCTTCCTGGCAGACTCAGGCTCTTCCCATTTGTCTGACATGTTAGGTCAATGGCATCCCTCTCTTGAAACCTGAGTTTCTCTCCAGGGTAGAAGACCTCCAGCAAAGACATGACAGAAAAACTGAGGCAGGGTGAAAAACCTGCTTGCAAAAAGGATTCATGGGGAAACAGAAGTGCAAGTACTATGCACCCAAAATAGTGGGTTTGGCTTGCTGTCTCAAATCATCCACTGAGACCTCATTCCTCTCATCCCTGGAAAGTGTCTCAGGAGTTATAGGGTAGCTCAAAGAAAACAAAACTGCTCAGCCACTGAGAGAGCTCATTTTTCAGAAGAGTTTTTTCTGATGTCAGAGTCCCCCTCCTAGATTATCCACCTAGCACAGAGCTTTCCACAGTGACTTGCTCTACAACACGGGGGGGGGAAGGGGGCAACATGTAAGCCACAGCTGCTTGCGCCCCCACCCCCTTTCATAAGTATAGACACCACTGACTTTCCTGACAACAGCATCAAAGCAACTGGCCATCTGACACCACATGTTGGTGGCCTGAAAAGGCCACCCTTATCTTCTTCTTTTAAAGGTGGATTTGAACTTTTCAGGGCTGTTGCAACTACCAAGGTTTTGCCTGTGCATGATGGCAAAACGAGAGTCCTCAAAACTAGAAAAATGGTGTGAGAGGAGAGAAACTCTGCGTTTGTCATTGTTTGCCATCAGGGCTTGGCTGTTCCTACTTGAATTGGCTTACCATGGCCCAGGCCTCCTACCTCACGTGGCAAATGCTGAGAGAAGACAGCAAATGGATGAAGAAAACTGTCTGTGTGGCCTTTCCTATCCCCTCTAAGCTGGCTTACCGCCTTCAGGGGTGGTGGAAGATGCCATCCCATCATTAAGCATTTTAGACCAATGCTCAATATTGAAAAAAGGCTTTTGTATATGGAACGGAAGGGGGTGCCATCTCATTCGTTAATTCAGGTAACAAAACCTCTCAGACCACTCCTGCTCTCAGCCCTTGGAAACCTCGCTGTGTCCATCTGCCTTGCCATAAACCTTCAAAGGGAAGCTGATGCTGCTTCTAACATGTCTGAAGATGTTTATTTATTTAAGGTTTTTGTATGCAGTCCCATTACTAAAAAAGTCTCTGGGTGGCTTACAGAGAGCAAATAAAAAAACAGAACCCATGACAACAACACACATCTTTTAAAAGAAGTAGACTGCATCTAAATTAGTAATAAAAACAAGGATAAAACCAATTAATTGTTAAAATGTCAGGAAAATAAAAAGGTCTTCCCTTGACACTGAAAAGAATAGACCGACGGCACCAGGTGAACCTCCCTGGGTAGTGGGGAGTTGAGGCGCCACCACTGAAAAGGCACTTCTCCGAGTAACTGCCCTCCTGATTTCCTTCAAGGAGGGTTCCCGGAGAAGGGCCTCTGCCTCTGATCAAAAGGGGCCGGCCAGCACATAGGGAAGAAGGCGTTCCTTCAGGTATCCAGGACAAAAAGCCATTTAGGGCCCTATAGTTTATAGGTTACGTTAGTGTCATTTGCAGAACAGTTTGTGGACACCTGCCCAGTGAGAAGCTCTTTCCATCTTGTCTGTCCTGGTGCTTTGCTTCCAAGTGACAACTAAGGGAGGAGATGTCATCAGGAAGTGGGTGCCCTTTCTTTGCTTAGGATATAGGTCCCTGGTTTCTTTCTGCTGCTTGAAGTGCTTTGTGGGTTGTTCTTTCTTTCCCTTTTTTGCTGATGTGAATGGGGTATTTTATTGTCAGGTCTCTTAACACAAAGTTTTGATTGATTGATTGATCAAAAGGCCCCAGATTGAGTATTTTGTCAAGTTCTGAGCACCAAACTTCAGGAAGGAATGTAGACAAGTTGGAGGGGTTCAGAGAAGGGCTACAAGGAAGATCCAGGGACTGGAAACAAAGTCCTATGAGGATAGATTGAAAGAACTGGGGGTGTTTCGCTTGAAGAAGAGAAGACTCAGAGGGGAGATGATAGTGCTTTTCAAATACCTAAGAAGCTGTCACATGGAAGACAACCAGGATCTCTGCTCAATTTTGCCAGAGTCCATGGAATAATGGGTTTATTTTACGGGAAGCCAGATTCCAGCTGGACATCAGGAAACACTTCCTGACTGTTGCAGCAGTACAGCAGTGCAAAAAAGGTCTAGGGAGGTCTTTGGCTCTCCCACATTGGAGGTATTCAAGAGGCAGTTGGGTAGACATTTGTCAGGGATGCTTTAACTTGGAGAAATGCACTGACCAGGCAGGTGCCTGTACAGGCCCCTTCCAAACTTTATGATTTTATTTAACAGTCTTATCTGTTAAATAGCCATCAGGGTAGCATACAATAATATAAAACAATAAAACACATAAAAACAACACAGACATTAAAACAACACATTTTAATAATAGGCTAAAGTGAAAACTAAATTGTTTAATGTGAGGATCTGTTGCTATTATTGGTTCTGACTTACTGGAGCTGGTATGTCTTACACCAAAGTTATAAGTTTCGCTCAATTTTTGAGGCTCAAATTTTGATCCCTGATATATTATAAATATGGTGATGGTATTGTTTTGTTTTGCGTATCGCTCTGAGTAAAGTGAATCAGGGAAAATGAGGCATATGAATAAGTTGACCATGACTTATGACTAAGGGTACGCCTGCTAGACTAGGCCTACCTAGTGTAGCAACCTGTTCCCATAGCGACCACCCAAATGGGCCACAGCCCACAGGAAGGGCTTGGGAGCAGCAACAGCCTGATAATATCGTTCACCAGCCTGATCATATCATTCAATTGGGACTTCCCAATTTTGAAGTTCAGGCACCAAGTGCAACAGTCCCTACAGCCATGCTCCCAAGAGAAGTCCAAAACCTCAGGCTGCTGAGTTGATCCATATCAATAAGCCAGACATTTTCCTCTCCACCAGAAACAAATTTTTGTAAACTTACTAGGTCTCAGTTGCCCATTCACGACTAACCTATTCCAAATACTTTGGCATTACAGGGAACAATAAATTGGATGTGTTTGCACATCACACTAATACAGCCTGACAATAAGCCCAGAAGAGGTTCCAAATGTATTTCCAGCCTTCCTTTGGTTTTTCTTGACAGCTATTAGAAGGTGAGCTGTCAAGGAAAAGCAAAGGTATGAGTGATCTTCAGCTACAAAAAGTGTTTACACCCCTTTCAAAGCAAGATTCTCATCTTCTCCACTCCCCTTTAATTGTCATGCCACACATTCTGAATTGTGCCCTGAACTTCTAGGAGCCTGGAAAAATGCAAAAGTGCAACCTACTGCCACTTTCTAATAAAAAGGCATTTTGACAGCCTTGGCAGCTAGCTGGCAAAACTCTGGATCATGTTAAAAAGGAGATTTTGAGAGGGAAATGGGTGTTTTGGGACTGGGACACACATCTGTGCTAAAGATCACTTGTTCCTTTGATTCTTGACAGCTCACCTTCTCACAGCTGTCAAGAAAATAATGAGGAGGATATGTTTTGAGTCTCTTTTGGGCAATGTTCACCACTGACAACTGTTCCCCTGGCAGCAGGCAGTCCTGTGGAAACTGCCTCAAGCAAGGCTTATATCCCCCTCACCTGTGGCACACCTGTGATTAATAAAATGTCTTGCACCAAAAGGTATAGTTTTTAAAATGCCTGGCATTTTGAAAGGACTGCTCATATCTGTCAAAACAAGGTTTGCAAAAGTTAAGTTGACAACTGGCTTTCACAACCTTCAAAAGTTTAAAGGGAAAAACAGGCAAGTCTCAAATGGTTCATTGCAGTGACAGGGAGGGGGCTAGCCAGTTGCAACTTCAGCATTTTGGGGTGCTGGCACCCTTCTAGCACCCCCATGGCAAAAACAGCAAGAACGGGAAGGGTTGGGGGGCATTGTCATCTGGCTCATTAGCCAATTTCCTGTACCCACAATAGGATTGTCCAACTATGTTTAGATGGCATGACAACCCATCATTGGTACAAACAACCCAGTTTGCTGGGGTTGCGTGTTGCCCACGCACAAGCCTTGGGAGAATAGGTCTGGGTTCACATGACAGGCCATCACATAATGGGTTGTTGTGTCATGTGAATCCAGTCATTGTTGCTGGGAAAACAATTCCTTTCTTCCTCCCCACAGCTATTGTGAGGATTGCAGCTCAGCTCTGAGAGAACATGGAAGTCAGTGGAGGGATGGCACCTGCTGTCAAATCACTTGCTTATAAAAAATAAAGATTAGTATTCCATCTGGCTCCACTGATGATTCCAGATGAAAGGTTCCTAGCAGCTATTCCTTCTTTTCCTTCATAATGTTTATGCCCACCACCACCATAGAAAAAGGATGATGAAGCAGTGGAAAAACACAGGTGGATTACAAGTGGAAAACAATGCAGTCTAGCCCTGATGTGATATTCTGTAGCTGAGGCAGGCTGGTAGCACAATAAAAGCCTCAACTAGAAGTACCCCAGTATTCAGAGGCATCATGCGCTGATCCTGGAGATGGTTTATAGTCATCATGTCTAGCAGCCATGATTTGTGATTATATTAATAACTATCGGTCTTGTTTTTTTTAAAAAAAATGATTTTCAACTGATTTTCTGACAAGTTTTTCCAGGTGTTAGAGGATGATTAAGGGGATTCTATGGAGAATTATCCGAAAAACATCTGACAGTACTTAACTATTACGTTTTTATTATTGAAGTTGATTTACTTTGGGGCAGCATAACGAAACGGGAGGATATTGGCACTGTACTGAAGAACTGGTCATATTAAAACAGCTAGTAGTGTTTGCCTTTCCTCATGTGAACTCAGAAGAGGAGAGGAACAGGTTTAAATGGGAAATCTGTATTTAATCTCTGCAGGTATTGAGAGAAGGGACATTCCTGAGAGAACTTACACTGACATCTATGAAGAAATTGCTGTTTATTCTGGTGGCTACTATGTAAAGACTGAAAAATATGAACTCTCTAAAGTCCTGGGCATAGTGGAGCTATTCCTGAATGCTGCCCCTGTTAAAGTGGCCTTCCATCGTATGAATGGAGCACGGTTCTCCTTCCCAGTGGATGAGACCCTCACAGAAATCAGTGTCTCGGTCAAGAGTATACACTCTGCCAGGGATTTCAGCATGACTGTGCTGCAGCCTTCAGGTAGGAGGTGTTCTGAAGTAGGGAGCACAGATGGGTGCCTTCCATAATCTTTCACTCTTCCTACAGCTTTGTTTCCCTTTGTGTCATCCAACTGCAGGTGCCCCAGTGCAGTCCACTCACACCATAATCAACACAGACAAGCACAAGGTTGTGAAAGTGTCTCCTATCAACAAGCATGGGTTATGGACTGTGGTTGTGTCTCCCAGAGGCTCCTATACTGTGGAAATCGGAGGCAAGAGCTTACTTGACTTCACCTACCAGATCATGAAAAAGCAGAAAGGATATGTGCTTCCGATCCAGGGACGACCTGTGAAAGGTACATTGCGGGAGCTGGCTGCAACAACCACACTACGGGTGGGACTAGCTATGAGATAGCTGTGCATATAAGAAAAACGTAAAGGAAGGTGTTTGTCTTCAAAAGCAAGTCCAGGAGGGGGACATTTAAGCAGAGGATCAGCGAACATGGACATTCCAGAGGAAAGCAAAGTTTCTAAATCTTTCACAGGGACAACCTACATTGTCTCCCTGAGGCTGCTGGAGCACACGAAAGGAGCTCAGTTCCAGCGACTGGTATCTATTTCTGATCAGGGGATTCCCTTCACCTCTGTTGCTCTAAACCAAACCTCTGATGCACTCGGCAATGCCTTCGCTGTTGCTTCTTTCTCTGTTGATGCTACGGTAGGTACCATTTCCGTGTTTTGTTAATTTTTGTTTATTTATTTATTTTAAGCAGATGTGAACACCTCAAGGGCCTCCAAGATGCTTTGGCTTACAACTCTCACCACTTCTTGCTTACAAAGCCAATGGAGAGGGCTGATGGGAGTTGTGCCCTTTGGCCTACAAGTTGCACATCCCAGGGTTAAAGTTGTAGCTTTACACTGAGTGAAAATTGGTGTGACCCTCTTTACATTAAACCAGGGCAAGCCAGTACACTACCTGGTTCCCATTGAGGCTATGAGGAGAAGCTTTCTCTTCTTCTGTACAGTGTTACTAGAAATCATGCTATATTATCATGTAGTGACATTCCCAGTACTATCCTCAAAAATATTATTCTGAAACCAGCCACAAGCTGCTGAGTGTAGAGGATTGCCCTTATTTCAGATTTTTAAGAAATCAGACCACTCAGCCATCCCATTAAACAGGAAATAGGAAACACACATCCTCAGATCATTTATAACCTTCAACAATCACACAAAAACTCCATCTTCCTTCACTGGAGGATGAAGGTTCAGCAAAGATGGGAGGGTAAGTTCAAAGTACCTTAGGACACAGGGTGTAAAATCAGCATATCTTCTAATAACTTTACTACCCATCTTTTATCATAGCTCCTTGTTGTTGTTAAGAGTTATCAAGTCATCCCCAACTTATGGCAACCCTATGAATGAAAGTCTTCCAAGACGTCCTTTCCTTGACAGCCCTGTCTAGCTCTTCTGAACTCAAGACTGGGCCTCCCGGATGGAGTCAATCCATCTCATAGCTGGTCTTTCTTTGCTGCTTTCCACTTTCCCTAGTGGTATTGTCTTCTCTGAAGTGAGTCTCATGCCTTACTAGTCAATTTATAAAACATAAAGGCAGTAATAGAAACATTTTATTATTGTCCCATAAATATCATCAGTAAAAGCAATAAAATAACAACAAAAAGTAAAAAAAAAGTTTTACTACAAATTAATTTAAAAATCATGCCAGATCATACAGATTAGAACTAATCTTAACAGGTCCTACTAAATAAAAAGGAAGGAGGGTAGAGAAATGTTTTTCTATATCACTAGCAGGAAAACCAAAAAGTGCCTATAGCTATCGTTTCTTCAGTTTCCAGTGTCTAACAAAAATAGCCACTGTTTGGTTGCAGAAAACTTGGATGTGTCTTTCGAGAGGGTCAGGAATTGTTGAAATAATCCCATATGCTCATCATGACACAGAGAGATGGGATGAAACAGAGGAAGAGAGCCTCAAACCCTGCTTTTGGTCCTACCCCCTTCAAATTCTCCCCTGTGTCCCACTGGAATGCAACCCCCAAGAGCTTTTCCAAAATGGAATTCCTCCTTCATCCTGAAGGAGATTCTTCAGCTTGGATGTAAAGGATGTTTGGCAGTAAATACCTCTCCTTCCCTTCCAGTCCTTCCTGCTGAGTGTGGAAGGCCAGTCTCCAGAAGGTCTGCCCTTTTCACGACTCATCCCCAACCCCATCTACATGGAGAGTGTACACATCGAGCTCATGCCAGACCAAAACTGTGAGTCTCTGGTGCCATGGAACAAATACTACCATTTTTACATCTTAAGAAGTGAGACAAAAATCGAGAAGTGCCAAGAAAGGGACTGTGTGTCAAAATCTGCAGATTAGTGTAGCTTTCCCTGGTCACTTGACAGAGCAGGCACCCTGGTCCATCTTGCAAGTATTTGCAGGATTGGTGTCAGACCTGTAGGTGCTTGCAGGGATTAAGGCCATCACAGTTACGCAAACCAGTGGAAGCCACCAGACATGCTATTAAAAGGCTGCCCAGTTCTGCTACACCAGCATGAATCTTCATGGTGGCTGCTCCATGTTCTTGGTTATGCCTCGAGCTGGAACACTTTCATTTGTGCCCTGACTGCTGCCTCTTCCTGAAGATGCCTTTACCAAGTATTTGCTCCTTGCCTTTTCCCAATCTTGCCTTTGCCTCTGGCTCTGGTCCAGCTATCTGACCTTTGCTTGCTCTTGGCTTTGCTTCGCCTCTGGGCTTGCCATGCCTTGATGGTATTCGGTACTCACATGATTTTAGTTTTCTTTTCCTTTGGCTCTGCCACACCTAGCTGGTATCTGACTCTTGCTTGTACTTGACTTCACTTTTACCTCTGGCCCTATTCTCCCCCTCCAAGCCCTCCATCATCCTCCCCCACCACCCCACCCCACCCCACCCACATCCAGATAGCCAGTTGTAATTGTAGTGGTCCTGCCACTAATGTACCACAGCTTACACTGTGGATATGCTGGAGATTTCAGCGTATGCCTTAAACATGTTGCAGAAATGCTAGATATATGCTTAGGGAAGGGAATCCTGTTCCAAAGTTAAGTTCTCTCTATCCCATTATGATTAATGTTATTTCTATACCAACCCAAAGCCAAAGGTCTCAGTAGACAAAACAAAAGAAAATGTTCTAGTATTTGATCTACTTTATGCTGATAATGACCATTTATCTGTATGGCACTGTCTTTGTGGTAGTGAAGCATCGCCATAAACAGTAAGAACATAAGAACTCTGTTGAAGCAGACCAAAGGTCTACCTTTCCAGTATCCTGTTTCTCACAGTAGGTAGCCAAATTCCTCTGAAAAATGTATATACAGATTACTGAAGGCAAGAACCCTCTTCTACTGTTTTTCCCAGCAACTGGTAATTTGGAGATGAGGTGATCCTGATCCTGGAAGTGTTAAATAACCCTCAAGAGCAACAGCCATGTCTTGGGTGAAGGAGACCCGCACCAGTGTGCCCATAAACAAGAGAAGATGGTTGCGGGGAGGAAGTGATAAAAGTGGTGCTAGCTGTGGAGGTCCTTTGGGGACACCCTCTCGGTGTACCCTCAGTGCCCTCCTTCCCTACTTCCTCACCAACATGGTCACTAGCTGCTGTTCCTCTTCTTCCTCATCACTGCTAGCACCCATTCAAGGAGGCAAGCTGTGGCAGCTACAGTTCTTCTTCACAGCACTACCGTTGTGTGGGTCAGAACAAGGGGTGGGTGGATAAGCAAGCTGTAAAGGGGAAACGGAAGAGCAATTCCAGGAGGTTCGTGTCAGTGGACCCCTGTTGGAGTGTGGGCCATTAGCGGGTGCCTCACCAAGCCTACTCTTGATGCCAGCAGTGCTGGACTACATCCCAAATTTACCTACAGGTGTAGAATGCCAGCCACGGCCTTGCCCATTAGAAATATGGCAGCAGTTGTCCACACTGTGAATATATTGTCCTTTTTTCCAGTCACCATATTATCTGGCCAGACCCAGGAGATCTCTGTCTATGTAATGAACAGTGGAACAGGTGCATCATTCACTTTCAGTGCCTCGGATAACCTGAATTTCGTGAAAAATTTCAACCCACCCCAAAAATATATCAATTCAGGAGAAAAAGCCATCCTTACTGCAAGTCTCACAGTGCCTGCAGAAAGCAGCAATATTACCACCAGGTAGGAGGCAGCATTTTCTAAAAAAACAGATGTCAAAATTCGGGGATGATCTGAGACAGGAGTGAGAATTTGGACACTGTACTGCCAGGATTTGGGAGGTGACTTGGTTGAACAATTCTCAAGAGTTTGTCAGTTGAGGGGTGCTGCTTTTACATGGTCAGGTTGCAGGAGGACACACCACCCTTTTCCATACTGAAGGGTCCAGTAATAGGACTGAAAATTGATATTTGTATACCTTTTGTTGAGTTTCTAAATGGCCCACCTTCAGGGAAACAAACTTGCTCTTATCCTAGCCAGAGTATACTGTTTACTTATCTCCCTGAACCAGGAAGGCAGTAGGAAGAACAGGTTAGATTAGAAACAGCATTCCCACCGTCTTTGTACAGCTATAATTAAGGCATATATTCTCTTGCTCCTCTAGGAAAGAGATGGTGCTCAGAGGCAGAACACCTAAAATAGGGTTGCAGAACTTTAGGCCAGGTCCCAGACTTGGCTCACCTGCAGCCCCAGTTCCCCAGGCTGTCACAACCTCTGTCCTCTGACTGCTGATAATTCAGGGTCTGCCTGGCTTTTGCACAATTTTTCCCCTAGACTGAAAGTTCACAATGCTCTCCTAAGGCTCATTTAGCAGCAATAAGAGTGCTGTAGCCAGGAATTTGTTTAAGTTCTATACTATCCAATAGTCAAAGCCTTCTGGGCAGTTTCAAACAAATTTCTGCTTAAATAATTCTGTTTATTTCTGGAAAAGAAGCTTATTTTGGGAAGAGAAGGGGTTCTTGGGGCAGGGAATTATAAAATAGGAGTGGAAGATCAGGACAATGTTTAGTAGGTTGCGGTATTTCGCAACCCTGTTGGATTGGATAGGAACAAAGTAGGTGGCTGGGTTTCCCACTGGGTGCCCCTCAGATCTGCACATTGTGTGTATTCATAATCCTTGCCAATTATTTTTCCAGCATCGTTACATTCTCAGCTGAAAGCTTCAGAAGCCACAACTATCTACAAGTGCCCGTCACTGTCGTCCCTGAATCTGCCTTGGTGAGTAATATGCCTTTTGCAGGATCATTCATGGCTATCGCTGATAGTTAGGATGCAGCCAATATGTGCTGCCTCCTAAATGGAGAAGCATCTCACTCACCAAACTGGAATTGGTTTATTTTATCTTAAAGGAAATTGTGTTGTTTTAGTTCCCTTCTGAGCCCCATCCAGAATATTATTGGTTATTACTTCTTAGGCAACTTGTAGCCTGGGTCATATTTAGCTTAGGGAGCAACTCTCCAAATGCCAGTCTGTACAGGAGGGGAGTTAAGCTTGAGGCCATGGGCCAAAACTGACCTAGCTAGATTCCCAGTCCAGCCCTCTTGGAATCGCCTGACCCCTCTTCCCCAACCACCAATTCTTTGGTGGTTTCTAGTTTCCACACAGTTCTTTCTCATATCCTAAACAGCTGAAATGTTTCTCCTAAGGCTTAGTTACTGGCAGTAAGAAAAAAATAGCTAAATTAAGCCAGCATTTTTTAAAAACCTGCTCCTGTTCCCTTTGTTTTTGACCCTATCCACTACTGCAGTGTGGCTCCTGAGAATTTCTTTGAAACTGAATTTGGCCCATACACTAAAAGATGTTTAATATGCCCGCTTTCTCTGATGTTCAGAGATTCTTGCCTCCAAGGGGTATCCTGCTGTGGTGAGGAGTACACATTTCCCTGTGTGTGAAACTTCTTAGACAGACCCAGGATTACTGCATTTAAAACTTCCTGTTTAAGAATGAAATCTTTTAAAGCCTCATATGTTTCTTAATGTGAGTTGCTTTTACCTGTTTTGGATAATGATGGGATGGAGATGAAGTCTGCAGCTTACTTGATTTGAAGATGAAAACTGCAGAATGAGCCACTGCTAAGTGCTGCAAGTTTACACTTTGGATTCTGGGACAAAGAAGCAATGGCTGGCCTGCATTTCTGAAAACATAAAGGCCCGCTGTAACCCAGATCTATCTGTTGCCTTGGGCAAGACACACAACTTCCTCAACAGGCCTGTGGATTTGTGGGTTTTCCCTGGTGGACCAACATGTCTGTTTGCTTGCTTTTTCTTTGATGCATATGTCTAAATATATTTCGTTTCTTAAAATGCATTTTAAACATATTTTAATACAGTTTTTGAAACAAGAATGGGATGTTAGCGAAGTGGTAAAGCAGATGAAGTACTCAATTATAAGCTTACATTAATCTGGGAGGTCAGGTCGGGTAGGATCCAAATATGCAAATATTAAATTCTTCAAGCATCATTTGGAGTTTAGCTTATTCTGTGCTAGAAGCATATGAGATAGGACAGAGGCCTATAGGAGATCTGTTGTCCATATTATTTGTTTGTTTCATTGCATTTATATTCTGTCTTTCTTCTGAGGAGTCCAATGTGGAATGCATGATTCTCCTCCTCTCATTTTTCCTAGAACCAGATCTCCCTAGTCCCGACCCAGAACTCCAGCCACTACAAGCCCTACTGGCCATCACACCCTTGAATCTTAATTGGTTTCCAGGGGGAGCCAGGAAAGTCTGTCTCACTGCCGTTGTTGCCACCTGATCATGCTCTTCTTTCTCAGCATTGCTCCCAAGAGATTGCATGACAGGCAGACAGCAGTAAGCAAGTAGGCAGTGGCCTCTGCTTCTCTTTCTCACTGCCACCTCTCTCTGAGCCAAGGAAGAGGCATGTGAACAAGAAGGCTGCAATGGGCAAGAAGCAAGTCCAGGAGACTCTTCTCAGTGGACCCCTGATGGCAGGCTCTTGGCAAGCACCTAACCATGCCCATCCCTCATTCCAGCCCTGGCGTCGATAGCGATATTTACTGATGACTACTCATTGATAGTATAAGCTAATGTGTCTCCCACCCTACAGGAAGTTGACCAGGTCCCACCAGTATACAAGCTTTTACAATTCACTATGCCTTGCACGGCCAACAGCCAGTCCAGTCCCGACTGCTCTCACCACATTTGGCGGATGGCGTTTTCTGTTAAAGATGATCGTAGTGCAGTCACAGCACGAGTTAACTCAAATCCCTCTGGGTTGGCATGCTATCCAGCAGAGGATGATGACGGAGGAAAGGACATCAACTGTGACTATAAGTATGTCTGTCCATGTTTTCTAGGCATTTGTATTGCTGAATGGAGAGAATGGTCATCAATACAGAATTGACAGCTGGGATAGAATCCTGCTGAACTTGGGTGTCATTTAAAAAAATAAGCCAGAAAGTTACTAGTTTGTTATTTATTGGCCATACTTTGATGTTGTTTAATTTATTAAAATCCCTAAATACTTCACATTTAAATATAGCAAAACAATTGATTAATTATATTTTGATCTTAAGTGCACTTCAAAATATTTCAACATTGTAACAGTAAAGAGAGAGCAACAAAGTCCCTTTTGGGTCTGTGTGCATGTTTGCTGTGTGCCATTGGTGGGACCAGCATGTGGGAAGATTGGCCATCGGGAGTAGCAGCTGGGGAAGGTTCCCAGTTGCACAAACGGGTCTGTGAATGTTTGCAGACTTCGCCCAGACTGGGTTCTCTCCCTCAGAGAGGGATGAGCACCAGAAGGAGTGTGACAGGCAGGTGCAAACCAGGTTCTGGCTAAGCTCAGCCTTTTCCCATTTCAAAAAGGGTCATTCTTCTCTACAAACATCAGGATTGAACCTGGAGCTTTTTTCCATGCAAGCCAGATAGTCCCAATGGCTTCTGTTCCCATTGTGCTGGGAAGCCTGTTCTAATCCTGCTACTCTGTGGGCAACTCCCACCAGCCCTTACCATTTGGCTGTGCTGGATGAGAATGATAGATATTGGGGTCCCACAACCTTGGGGAAAGCTACAATTTCCCCATTCCTAGTCTAAAATCTTCCCCTCCATCTCCATCACTATTCACTGCATCTAACATTTAAAATAAAACCCATACATCTCCTTTCTTTGTCTGAAGGAAAAAAGACACAGCCATCCTAGTGAATGATATAAAATTAAGTACATTCATGGCACTTAGTCAATTTAAACAATATGTCCCCCTTGCAGGATTTGTGTTTCCACATCTGCTGGGCTCATCTGAACTCTTCCCACCCCCTGCTGATCTGTCTTGTATTCCCCCCCCCCCCCCGCTTTGTAGGTCAACCTGCTGTTCTCCTTCTGCAGAGGTTCTAATTCTTGATGGGGATGGAAACATGGATACTTTCACTGTGGACTACAACACACACCCTCCTACAGAAGCCTAGTGAGTTGCAACATGCACGATTGTCGTGAAGCTGCCGTCTCAGTGCAGATTAGTGGTCCATCTAGTCCAACATGCTTTGCTGCAGAGGTTGGGCACCAAGAGCCTTCCAAGGGCCCCCAGGTGTGCTTGCCAAGGTCCTCACTGTCTACCCCACACTGCTGCTCCTGACACCACTATGCTTAACAGCCAGGGGATGGGAATTCAGCAGATTAGGAGAGTTATCCCCTACCTGCTGAGCTCCTGCCTCCTTGTTGCTCAGGTGAGTGGCAGGAGGCTGAAAGAACATTGGTGCAAATATGAAGAAGATGGAGGAAAGGAAGGTGGGAGCAAGAAATGCTAGAATCCTGGAGGTGGTGCAGTCCTGAAAAAAAGTAAGATGGGTTTGTGGCTTCGAAAATGTTACATGCCTGGCATCTACTGCCCCTCTCCAAAATAGTGACTCAAAGTTTTGCCAAAGGGCTTTTCTTGAACTTGCTGAATAATTTATTTAATTGGAGTCACCAAGGAATAAACCAGAGTCATTCTGCATCCAAACTGCTCCCTCCCATGGAGTGGTTGATCAGGTGACAGCCAGAGCTCTTTGGTTCTCTGTGGGGGTAGCTGAGTCTAGTGGGATAATGACGGGAGCACTGTTAACAGCAGGGATTGGATCCAGGATCCGCTTTCTGCAAGAGGCTCCTCTGCTTGAAAATTGGGATCCTCTCCTTCAACACAGCATGGCTCACCTCATTCTGCAAGGTCTCCTCATTCTTTGTGAAGCATTCCAGGGGTCTGGGGAAGCTACTATAGAAGGAAGGGGCTGGGAAATCCATTTTCGGCAGTACAGTCAGGGCCTGCTGTCTGGTGAAGCAGGGTGATATGCCTGGTGTCTTGTATGGGCTCTACCAGAAGAATGGCAAGGAGGTTAGCATGGTTCAAGTAGCACAGTGAACAAATGGGCCACAGACAAGGGAACTGTGAGCTTTCTTTTTCTTGTGTGCTAACAACCTGCATCCATTCTTCATTGTGACTTTCAATAAACTGAATAGCATCTTTGAGATGGATGGTTTTGTTTCTTTCTAAGTATCACTGAATCCAAAGTAGGAGGCCTTGGCTGGACCAGGCTCCCATGGTTGAAACATCTGAATCAGGCAGAGGAATGGGACAAGGAGAGAACTGCATTGCTTCCCGCTACCAAGATACTGCCACCCCTGCCAAGAGGCCTGCTAGCTGCTCCCTGCAGTGACATTTGCCATCGTGAGAGGCTGGAGTAGCTCTTTGGAGCAGCTGCCCTCCTGCTTCCCTTGCTGCTCATCCCCGTACTTCTGCCACAGTTGCGCTGGTGCTGGGAAGGAGCACATGGTGGGAAGGGGTGCGATGGGGCAGCCCATGAGAGGCCGGCCTCAGGTGATGAGAGCCTGCACTGAAGCACAACACAGTCAACCCAGTTTAAAATCCCACCAACCTCTTTTCTCCCTTTGTTAATTCAATCGTTGCAGGAAAATAAAAATAGAAAACCAGCACAAGCAACTAGAGCTGGAAGGGTCAGTCAGCTTAGTTTGTGGGCCATGCTAGTTTCACATGTGTGCATCATCATTTATGTCTGTCAAATTTCTTCATCCATCTGCAAATACACAGAGAGCATGTAACTGACTTGTAGTTCAATAGACACATGTCCACTCAGAAGCAAGCCCCATTGAGTTCAGTGCAGCTTACTCACAGAGTGTGTCTTGAAATTGCAGCCTCGAGGGCCTGAGGACCGTGAATATGAACCAGCTAGTTAAAGGGGTAATTTGGTAATACCATGCCTCGAGTGATGGAACTAGTAATTAAAGAAGTAGTAGCCAAGAGGCAGAAGCTGCTTTAAACAAGCAAAGAGGACATTAATTAAAGGATAAGTTGCCGGAAGTGGAAGCTTGGCTGAACAACAGTTACTCCTGAATTTTCAAAATAAGGGGGAAAAAAAGAAAGAAAAAGAAAATAAGAGCTAGCCCATGGAGGCAGGCTTGTGGGTCTGTTATGGGGATGCTGCATTATATGAAATGCCACATTAAAGCACTGTTTTAATTCCACTTCCAGTTGATTCGAGAGCAAGTGACTGGGCAGAGTAAAAAGGTATTAGGTGTTGAAGGAACTCCAAAAGCAAAAGGCTTTGGAAAGGAAATTGTATGAAGTGAGGGACGCAGGGAGTGGGGAGCAGCAGAGCCGACACCCTGCTTTCTTGGCAAAGCCTCTGAGCAGTTGCATGACAGGGAGAAATCCAACCTCATTGCTGCTTCTCTGGACCAGAGTTCAGCGGCAGCTGTTAATTCTCTGCCTCATGTGCGACCCCTAATGGTGCAGGGGGCTCCTGGCTTCTTGGTAGGGGAATCTATAGGACTGGCATATAGAGCTGGACAAGGCACTGGCATACCTCATGCTGATCAATACCTTGTTTTTCTTGCAGAATCTCTAACAGCTGAGCTGCATCACATGAATATCCTGACATGTGGACAATCTTTCTTATCTCTTGGTGCCCCTTGTGCCAGGAAGAAGATACCACCCAAAGCCAAAACTGCCAGGTGGTAATAATCTGGCCACATCAGCCAGATTACACACACCATTAAATAAAACAAATTTCAGAAAGCAGTTGTGCCTGTTTGTACTATCTCTTATAGTGATGACGATGTCTGCACGAATAAAGCACAGTTTGATGATCCCCCGGAGTAGGCATCCCTATCAGGCATGTACTTTCTCCAGTGGGGTAAGGGGAGATTTACATTCCTCATGTGGAAGATATTGGGCTGCACTAGACAGAATAGGTGGCCCTTCCTCCTTCAGTGCAGACCAGCCCTCCCCTCTGCAGCTGTCTTACCCAGGAAAGCCATAGGGTGCAAAGGAACCAGCTGTGCACTTCTTAAAGAAGTGAGGCTGCAGCCAGATCCACAGTGTATCTTTGGTTTGAGAAAAACACTTGACAATGTCTGTCTAGTTCATAAGATGGTCCTATATGAGCTTCACCCTACTGTTGTTAGGTGGAAACAGCTGGTTGAGCAGCTGTACCCAGGAAACTGCCCATTAACAGGTCCTTGTGACACTGAAGGGAGGTCTCACACGGAGTGCTGCCAGCCTCTGTCCAAGGGCCGTATCTCACTGGGCTGTTCGACATTTCTATAAATCACTTGGATTAGGAGACAATTATCAGATTTGCAGATAACTCTAGGAGGGATAACTAACACAGACACAATTTGCACCTTCAGTCAAAAAGGGGTTGGGGTCTTGAACTCTTGATCTGTTGCATTGAATTCCACCTGTACTTCCAGAAGTTTTAGCAGTATAATGAATTACATGGCTGTGTTAACATAAGCCAATTGCCCCAGCACTGTCCTTGTGAGATTCTCTCTAGCAACAGAGTCAGTTTGCAGAGTCTGCCAGCCAGCAATTAGTTTGTAGTCAGGCTCTTCATAGAAAAATAATTATTCTCTAGCCCTTTAAAATTTTGTCACCATAGTTTGCCTGCTCCTGACAAAACAATGACTTGTTTGATATGATCACTGAAAATGAAAATAATACTTATTAATTGGTTACATTTTTATCCTGCCTTTTTTCCTCCAAGGAGCAGAAGGCAGTCCTCTCCGTTTTATCTTCACAACCCTGTGAGCTAGATCAGTCGATCTTAACCAAATGGGGCCTAGAACATAGGTTTTCTGAGTCCCAGGCCAATATTCAGATTGCTCCAGCACGCCGATTAGGAACACAGAAGAGTCACTGCAGGTTTAAGAGAGTTGCCATACCAGAAGGTCTGGGTAGTGTTACTTACAGTTAGGACCAGAGCCAGATTGATATTAAATACAGGATCGCTTTTAAACTCATCACTAGTTCAGTGCATGATGTTGCAGTGTTTCTATCTGCTTGCTGGCCATGGGCATTGTACCCAGTTAAAGACTAGTGCGAAAGGGGGAGGGAGTCTCACTATTTAGTTGTAACGATATAAACCTGCCATTTACCAACACTACAATTTGGTGGGGGTTATGCAGCCATTTTGTTTTCATGCAGAACTTCGACACATGACTTCTATCAAGATGAGTGACTTCCCACTGAAAATGTAAGAGAATATTAAAAAGTAAAGCTGCATACCGGAAAGCAATTTACTGAGTAAATAATAGCATTTGCACTTTGGGGTGCCATGAGAAATGGAGCAATAAGCACACTCTTCTGCCAGATAGAGCAAAATCTATGGAGTGATAATATATTCCTCTAAGTCTTTTCATTGCTGGGTTTTAACAATGTTATCTTTAAATGGGAAAAGAAATGCCATATGCACCCAGTGATAAATGATCAATATGATAGTTTAATTTGATTTACAGATGAGAGAATTTCATATACCACTCTTAATATCACTTGTTGGGGGTGAGGAAGGAGCCCAGTGTTTTTGATTACTCTGTAGTCATAAGGAGTGGATCAACATGCTGATAATTCTTAGATCTTTCATTTGCTTTCAGGGAATTTAAAGGAAGGCTGTCAGTATGTACCTTCTGAAGACAAGTGCTGACTTGGGTGAAATTTATGCTGGATTGCATTCTGAAATAGGGTATGATCCAGGCAAAGTAAAACAGCTTGATCAACAACAGTGAAGTTAATCTTATGGTCTTTTTCTCCCAAAATACTTTTTAATATTAGTGTTTACATATATTTACAGCTCAATAGTACACAAGTACACAGAAGAATTTCCATTGACTTCAATGAGGTTTGCTCCCAGGGAGATGGGTATAGGTTTGCAGCCTCCGTTTAAGTAGTTCAGATTATGTATGTTTCATCCATAGCATTTACAATACAAAGTGACTGGGAATACTGCACAATTTCTTTCTATTAAGTCTGTGTCCTTTATTCCTTAGTCAATTCTTTTTCATCTTTATAACCAAGGAGCCAGTAACCTTTCTCCCATGCAGTTAAACATGACTGCAAAGAGCTATATATAGTCTGTCTTTAGAAATGATAAACAGCCTGCTCTGGCAAAAGGATTAAGAGATCAACAGGACTGAGGAGATAGAAATGAAGATGAGACATAAAGTTGTTAATGCAAACAGCTGATAAGACCCGTTTCCAGGATGGTCTTAGTCAGCCAGAGGTAGCTGCAGTGTAGCTCTGTGGCCACATTGCATGAGCCTTGGGATAACCCCAGAGCAGAAGAGATCTTTTCTGGCTGCCATGAAAATAATTTGTTGCAATCATGTCTTGAAGGAAAAAATATGAAAAAGCAGGAAATAATTCCAGCACAAATAACATGAAGTGGTAAGTACCTTCAGCAGAATCTCTGCCTTAAGGCCACACAATCAAGTTCTTGCACTGTTTATGCAGAGCATCAGATGCTCCACAAAAGGGTAGAAGATTAAATGCAAATGTAAACGACTGAATGTAAAAGAAGAGAATTTCTTGATGCAGCAGAATCGAAGGGATGGGGACAGGTTAGCTTTCCAAACATCCCAGTGGGTACTTGTCAGTTGGCTCCTGTGTCAATGGAGTGCCTCATTCATTCCTGCTTTTAGTTCGAATCTTACAGGAGCTATCTGCAGTGCTGATCCCCATCCTCAAAATAGGTTTGCCACTATGGATGGCTCCTGTAAAGCTCAAAAGAAAGGCTCTGATTGATGCGGAGCTGCACTGACATAAAGGCCATGAGCCACCACGACCGTATTATATGCAGGGATTCAGCATGTGACAGGCAGTCTAAAGCTACCCCCTTTCCCACATATTCAAGCTGTTGTGGCTCTGGCCAGAATTCATTCATTCATTCATTTTTGATAGTGGAACGCTTTTCATCTTTTCCACCTAGATTTTAATTAGAAATGAAAAATTATAATTATAGGAGCACATATATGTCAGAATGGAATAGCTCTTTCTAAACTTGCCAGACCGTATTTGTTGCTTTCTCTAATGAGCTTCTTTAACTTAGATTTTGAGCTAGATAATGGGCAATGCTAAATTGATCTTGGCTATATCTTTCTACCAAAGTAAAGGGCTTACAATTCTAGATAAACACAAACTTAATTAAAGCAGTCATAAAACAGATTCATTAAAAATATAACATCAGAATAAAAGCAGTACCCATTTCAATAGACATGTTTACATACCAGAAACTTGCTTGAATACATATATCTTTGAGTGCTGGCAGGATGAAAGGTATGCAATCTAGACTCCCTTGATCCACGGCCAGGAAACACCCACCCAAAAGTCCCTCTCTTGCATCACCACCATGCCTCTGAAAGCAGTAGTGCTCAAAGAAGGGCCTCTCCCAGGTATCTTAATACACGGGCAGAGTCAAATGTGGTGCTCAGGAGAGAAAAGGGATTTTGTCAGTATATAGCCTGCCCAAAATTGTCCAAAAGTCTTCCTACCTGAGCTAGCCAAGCTGTTTAGAGGTATGGAATACAAGACTGATCTTGGCAGGCTAATACAGGCCAAAAGGCCAAAGCATTAAGTGGGAATCCCACAGCATCAGTTTCTAAAAAAAGGCTGGAACCCCTGTAAAATAAAATCCAAAACTGTCAGATGGCAATCCAGAAAGCCACCATGGAAATGCCATTGAAAGAGCCACAACTGTCTATCCACTTCTTGATATAAGTCATCTATCAGGACAACCAAAGATGACTTGTTGCAAAATTAGCCTTGAGGCTGGATTAAAAGAGGTATAAATAATCCATTATAGCCAAGAATCCCTGAAGCTGAATTGTTACCATATGCTCAATTGCAGTGCTGAAAACTGGAATAGTTGAAATTGGCTGGCCTCAGTCCAACACGAAAGAAAGTAGGAGGGGGTCTACTATAAAGGTTAAAGCTAGAGATAGGCCAAAACAATTTGCACCCAAGTCGCCACTCCTTCTCCGCTGTGAAGAGAAGAGAGTTGCACTGTGTGGTTGGCAACCTGGGGACACATCCCCTTTCTTCTAGGGCTGTGCTGCAAAAATGAGCTAGAAACTGGCCCAGTTTGCACAGTCGCAGGCTGGTTAATAAGACACCATGGCTTGTTCACTGCTCTGTGCATACCAGTTGTGTGCCGGGGAGATGAACCTAATCCTTCTAAACAATGCTGTTTGTTGTGCCACGAGAACCTGGCCAGTGTAGTGTGTTGCCATGAGTAATAAGCCACTCAAACCCTACAAACCCCTGGGGTGCTGTGTGGCTTGTTACTCAAAGCAGGAAGCTAACCTGGCCAGGTCTGCATGATGCAATGAGCCCAGCTGCCAAGAGTAATTACACTAATCCCTCCAGTACACAACCAGTGCACATGGTGGAGCAAGAAACTACTCTAGTTTATTTCCCAAGCTGTGATTGTGCAAGCAGGTCAATGAGCAGAAATGCAACATGATGCCATCTTAAGTGCAACTGTCTTGCCCGGCTGCACTGCGATTTTATCACTATTTGCTCTTACCATATAGAATACGGGAGAAAGAGAGGCAGCATTGGCTAAGCAAAGTGTAGGGGCCTTTTTTCCTTACACAATGGATTACCATATTACCTCGTCAGTGTATTCTTTCTTCACACACCCCACGCACTGCTGAGATGTAGAACACCTTTCATACTCCATTCACAAGGTTGAATATTTAAGGATCATTTATCCCTCTGAAGGCCATTAATCTGACTTACAAGAAGAATAAAAAATAGATATATGTGTGCCTCTCTATATGTTGTCTGTTCATATGTCCTTATGTATGCAATTTATAACATTTAAT